GTTGGGAATTAACAGGACAATCACATTTAGAAAAATAAGGGGGTAACAATTTCAGAGCAAAACCAAGCGTATTGTTGAGGGGTTGAAAGATTGTCATGATGGCAGGAAGTGGGATTTTAGATAGGAATGAAAAAAAATTGTGGTAAGAGAAAGAAATCTCAGGGTTCAAGATCTTGGAGATGGAATAGTTAGAAGTAATGGTATGGCTGCCCTACGAGGTGTCTAAGGCACAGAAAAAAGGAAAATTATAAAAGATGTCATCAAGGAGCTATGAGCCTTGGGTGTTTTGAAGTCATTGTGGAGGATAGAGAATAGGGTGGAGAGTAAAAAAAGTAAACCAGGTGCTGAGACCATTGAGAAGGATGGTAGAATACAGTGCATACTTAGTGATGCCTACAACAAATATTGTAAAGAAGGTGGCATCATTGGATGACATGGACTTCAAAGGAGGAGAAGCTGTTGAGAAGTGGTGATGAAGCTTCTCCATGGAGAGCAAAGAGAATATTGGCTCTCCCTCCTGGCTTTGTAATCTGCTGTGTAGAAGGATTGGAATAATTTTCAGGGAATCTCTTCACTTTTTCTACTCTTCTTTTCCTATTTTTCCCAGATCCTAATTAATCCTGGAGGTATTAGCCACCTCCTTTTTCTCAAGCACCAAGTTGTCTCTTGTGGTTTGTAAATGCTGCACATGTTTTCTGCATTTCATCCAGAAAACAGAAGCTTATCTCTTCCCATACTTATACACTGGCATGATTAACATAATTCAGATGTGGACATTCCTAGGGATTCAGCTTCTGAAAACAAGATCCTACTTGTCACTCCACTTGGTAATAGCTCCATTGGGAAAGAGTAATTTCTGAGAGCCTTCCACTCCTTAGTGGAAGGTGGATTAGTGGTGGATTCCATTAAAGAGTAGAAGGCTCTCAGAAATTACTCTTTTCCAGTCATCTTCATTTTATGGGAGATCTGAGGCTTTGATGATGGGAAGGGTACTTTTTCTGGGGGTCTAACTGTATTACTCAGGCCCTCCTTGGTTTGCGGGATTGGATGGAGTTATTGCTTAGTGAGTATGAAGTTTGCTCTTGGATGAGATGAGTTGAGCTGGATATCCAGCCTGTTACCTACCCAAAAAAGCACCATAACTATAGTGAAGACAAGATTGAAAAGGACTTTGGCAGTCTGGGTCTTTTTGTATTGGTTGAGATTTGAGAGTATGAGTAGAAAGGAGAGGAAAATCCTGAGTATGTTAAGTGATAGGAGAGATAATAATAATAATACTGACAAGTGAATTTATATAGCACTTGAATGTTTGCAAAATTCTTTATGTACATTATCTCATTTGAATATCACAACCACCTTGTGACATCAGAACTACACATATTATTACCTCCATTGTGTGGATGAGAAAACTGAGACTTGGAAAAATGAAGTGATTTGCCCATTATCACAAAACTAGTAAATGTCAGATGAAGAATTTGAATTTAATTTCCTGATTCAAATCTAACATAGTATCAACACATGTGTTGCCCCAACATGTGTGTGCACACACACACACAAAAGAGAAACAGAGACAGAGAGAGACAGAGAGACAGAGACCTATTTCCCAGCTGATGCTTGGTTCACTTCAATCTGGCCTTTATTTTTTCCCAGGATAGGCATCCTATTGGGCTTCAACCATCTTGGCCTAGGGTTTCCCTTTTGTCCAATTTTCTGATTGACTCACAGTGGGTAATAAGCTCTTGCTTGGAAGGATGTAAGAGTGACTTTTCCAGACTATTCTGGTTATTCTGGTTCTTATACCACAGGTTCTATTATATACACAGTAATACTTTTTTTTTTTAAAGAAATGAATAGAAGATACTCATAAGACCAGATAACAAGGAATGTATAGAAAAGTGTGACATAGTTCTATAAACACATAGTGGGAATGTTCAAACTCAGAATGAACTCAAGTTGGTGAGGGAAGCTAAGAACAACAAAAAGTTTGTTCACTTGCTTTTAAGGTATATTGGGAGAAAAAAGGGAAATCGCAGAAGGAACAAAACCTTTGCTAGGGGTGAATGGGACTATGATAACAGGCAATAGAAAGGAGAGAGACTACTCCATCCTTACATTTTGTTTCTGTTCCCTGCAATGGAGAGGAGTCTTTACATTGGAAATGACAGAACAAAAATGACTAACATGGACTTGATACCCAAGCTAGTAAGAGAATACCTATTTGCTTTTGATGAATTCAAGTCATCTGGCACAGATGACTTGGGTCCTTAAGGACCTGCCAGATTTTGTTTTTGTACCTCCAGCACTTAGAACAATGCCTGGTACATAAGTGCTTAGTAATTGTCTGTTGGCTAACTCATATAATTGCTGAACTGCTGTTGGTGATATTTGAAAGGTCATAGAAAAGGGGAGAGAAGTACCCCAAGACTGGAGGCAAGTAAAATTCCCATTAAAAAAGAAAACCCAGAATCTGCAAACTATAGATTATAGTTCACTACATGTGAACTTGAGTTTGATTCCTGGAAAATTCTAGAATGTATCATTTCAGATACGGTTAATGAATATGTAGAAAGAGAAGCAGTGATGATAAAGAGGTAGCATGTCTCCATCAAGAATAGGTCATGTTGGGGCAGCTAGGTGGCTCAGTGGATAGAGCACAGACCCTAGAGTCAGGAGGACCAGAGTTCAAATCTGGCCTCAGGCACTTGACACTTACTAGCTGTGGGCAAGTCACTTAACCTATGCCTAGCCAAAAAAGAAAAAGTATAGAGCATGTCAGGCTAATTTCTTTCCCTTTTGCCCAGAATTATTTAATGAATAGGTGAGGGGAATGCTATGAATATAGCTTACCTAGATTTTAGTTAAGCTAAATTTTCTCATAATATTGTTCTGGAGAAGATGGCAAGATTTGGAGTAGATGATAAGATATTTAGTTGGATTCAGAACTAGGTGGATAGATGGTTGGACTTTCTCCCCTCCCTCCCTCCCCTTTTTCTTTCCTTCCTCCTTTCTTTCTTTCTTTCTTTCTTTCTTTCTTTCTTTCTTTCTTTCTTTCTTTCTTTCTTTCTTTCTTTCCTTCCTTTCTTCTTTTCTTCCTTCTTTCCCTCCTTTCTTCCTTCCCTTCCTTCTTTCCTTCCTTCCTTTTTTCCTTCCTTTCTTCTCCTTTGTCTCTGTCCTTGTCACTCTCTTCTTCCCATCTTTTCATAAGTTGCAGAATATTCGCTAACTCTTTTTGGAAAGATTGTGGAGGGAAGAAGTGACAAAGTAAATCAAGATGAAGTAGGTTCCTGATCTGCTAGAAAGTAGATTCCTGTATCTGTTGGCTACAATGAAGTTGTTTCTTCTACTGATGCCAAGGCTTACTGCTTCTATAGTTCCCTACACCTTGTCCTTCCACTGATCCACTTCAGTATAACTGATTTATTTCTGGAGGGATGATTTTTAACTCTTTGATAGTTTTGTCTTTCAATTTTGTATAGATGTTTCACTTTATCCTATGACTATGTCCCTGAAAATTGTGACAATAGAATTTTTGGAAACATAATCACCTAAAATTCACTAAGGTCTTTTGCTATATAAAGAAACTCTATGATCAATCATTTTGTTAACAGATGCTCCTTTTGCAATGTCCATACTTATCCCTTATTGATCTGTTTTAAGAGATTTGATTATTACAAACATGGAACACCAGTGTTACTTTCTGTTTCTCAGTCTACAGTGTCTTTCTGGGAAAACTATGTATGGAGCAAAAATGTGTCAGGAAAGAATGTGATATAAAAAAAAAAGACAGGAGCAAAAAATTTAAAAAGAAAGTACGTATGGTTACTATAATCTATGAAAAAAAATTATCAAATGTGCCCCTGAATTCAAAATGTCTTGCTCACTCTTGAGAATTAAGTTCAGTGAACGTCTTGGAACAAAGTTCTCCCTGTACAACTTCTCACCACACCCTAGAAATGGATTAAGGAGGGATCTTATCATTATAGTTTTTGAGAATAGAGAAACCAAGCCTTGTAAGTGTAGGAAACTTGCTGTTATTCACAATAAGGCAAATACAGGTGCTAGAGCCATTACATTTGAAATATAGGGAGCTGGGTATGGTGGTGGATGGGCAGTGGGAAGGATGGTACTAGAAAAGGAAGTGATATACTTATGGAACATGTTGCTAATCTTTCCTTCTCTTTCTTTCTTCCCTTCTCTCCCCTCCCCCCACTCTCCCCACTCCAGGTTCTGCAGAAATTTTGTTTGGAGCCTTTGAGCCTTTCTGAGTGCTGGGGGGTGAGTTATGGGCTGGATTGCCTTCGGCACCCACCATGAAGCCTGAGTCTGCTTCTGCTCTCCTAGGAGCAGTGCTCTGCCTGAGCTTTCTGCTTTGCTCGACTCTCATCCATCTGGTCTCCCGCCACTAGGAGGTAGACCTCCAGGATTGGTCCTTGTCCTGTTTCTACCCTTCACTCTGCTCACCTCACCGCTCCTCCCTCAAACATTGTTGCTGCCCTTGCCACCCCCATTGCCCCAGTTCCCCAGTGGCATTTGGGGTTTGAGTAGCATAGGGACCCTTCTTGAGGGAAGAGCATTTCCTGAAGGATTCCCCAAACCCACTCTGTATCTTCTCCTGGAATCAAGGCCTCCGGATCTACATGGATAGCTGAGATCTTTTCTTGGAGAGGAACACCTTCCTTTCCTCCAGCCCTTCCTCCATTCTCTCCTGCCCTCCTCTTCCTCTCTTGCCCTTTCCAACTCCTCTTTCTTCTGTTGTTCTTAAAGGATTTATTGGTTACGACATCTGTCTCTCATCCCTGGCTGGTGTCACACACATACTGTCTTTTTATCTCTCTATCTGTATTTTTTTCTGACCTCTTATGTGCTATCTCTGCCTCTTTCTTCTATTTGGCATTCTGCTTGTTCTCAACAGAGAAACACTCAGTTTACTTCCCTGAGGTTCCCCGCCTTTCCCTCAGCCTAGTTTACCCACAGCTTTGGGCCTACTCCCAACAGCAGCCATGGGCTTCACCCTTCACTCTGTCTACTTCACTCTGAAGTTCAGTGTTCTGCTTGGCTCTCTGCTGGGGCTTTGCTTGGGCCTGGAGTTCATGGGCCTTCCAAACCAATGGGCCCGCTACCTCCGCTGGGATGCTAGTACTCGAAGTGACCTGAGCTTCCAATTCAAGACCAACGTCTCGGCTGGCCTGCTTCTCTACTTGGATGACGGTGGTGTCTGTGACTTCCTCTGCCTATCCCTGGTGGATGGTCGTGTCCAGCTCCGTTTCAGCATGGACTGTGCTGAGACGGCTGTGCTGTCAGACAAGCAGGTCAACGATAGCAGCTGGCATTTCCTGATGGTGAGCCGTGACCGAATGAGGACAGTACTTGTGTTGGATGGGGAGGCCAGGCCTGGGGAGGTCCAGCCTCAGCGGCCCCACATGGATGTGGTCAGTGACTTGTTTGTTGGAGGGGTCCCAGCTGATATAAGGCCTTCTGCCCTGACCCTGGATGGGGTGCAGGACATGCCTACCTTCAAGGGGTTTATCCTGGATCTTAAATATGGCAACTCAGAACCTCGTCTTCTGGGGACCCAGGGGGTCCAGGTGGAGGCTGAGGGTCCTTGTGCTGAAAGCCCATGTGAGAATGGTGGAGTCTGTTTCCTCCTAGATGGCCACCCGACCTGTGACTGTTCTGCCACTGGCTATGGTGGCAAGCTCTGCTCCGAAGGTAAGGCTGACCCTCCTCCATCTCACCCCAACCTCAACACTCTTCCCTCCCTACATGCACATAGGCACCACATACACATATAAATATTCCCTATTTTTACCGCAGAACTACCAATTTGGTTTCAGAAGCCTAGGGGCTCCAGTTGGTGTAGGTAGAGGGAAGGGAATGGACCTATTCTATAACTTCTACTTCCTTCTGTCATAGGCTGAAGAGGCTGTATCCTTATCTCCAAAGAGAGGTTTGTGGGGGTTTGAAACTTACATTCCTGGGCAGCTGCCTCTGTGGCATCCACAGGACTGACTAGAATGAATAAAGTTTGAAGCCTGGAGAGTCACTGCCACACAAACTGAGGATCTCCCCATGAATCTCACTCCTCAGAAAGCAAACTGGAATGTCCAGGGCCCATTCATGCATCTCATTCCCCTAGAGTGAGTAGCCAGGGTTCCCAGAGCCTACAAAGGCTTGCCACTGGTAAGAAGACAAGAAGTGAATTTCAAAAGTCTCCTTTTGAGCCATAAGTAAACTAGAAATGAGAAGAAAACTCTCTACTCCCATTGTCCCTGTAGTGCATATGGAACTTTGTATTCAGACCATCAAAAAAAGAGGGGTGAACTTTGAGGGAGGAGTGGGTTCATGAGGCCCCACTGGAGCTCCCATTAATGGGTCATCTATTCCCAGCTGTTAACCCATGGACTTTTTTTCTCCCATTAAGTCTACTGTTTATATTTGGGGCTTCATGTCCCTCCCTCTCTCTCATGTAAAACAAAAGTAGAATAGGACTGGAGAGGCGATTCAATACTTTATCTAACCAAAGAGCATAGGAATGCTCAGCAAGCCTTGGAGAGTGTTCTGAAATACAGCTGTGGCTCAGAGGACAGATAGCTAGCCACACTTCTATTGCTGACACCTGAAGCATGTGGCTCAGGTTTCATATGCCACTCTTAGATCAGAGACCCAACTCTTAGTTTGTCTTGAAATTAGGTCTGGAGAAGAGGCTTGAATTTTAGTTTGCCAATTTCCCAGTCCCAAAATATAGGACCAATGGGTCTGTGGCAGTGAAGGTTTTGTACTTTGTATAGGTTAACTAGGAACTCTGTCTTGGGGATTAGCTAGAAAGTTCAGTAGTAGAGACTAAATATTTCCTGAGGCCTGTCCTCAAGGGCACATGGGATGGGAACAACAGAAATTAATTTCCCTTGGTTTTAATGAACCTCTTCAAATTCCTGGTCCTTATGGTAGTGTCCTGTTTTGCTACAGTGGGGTGGAGGGATTGTTAATGGGAGGACAAGTGAGAGGGACTGACATTTGTTCCTTACTACTTTATGCCCAGGATGTCCTTTTTGAGATGTAATCCCTATGCTTCAGAACTTGGACTGATTTTTTAAAATGTGCCTGCAGTCATGTAGCAAGCTTTGGTCTGGACTCTTTCTGGACAACTCCATGCTCAAAGCAAGCTGCAACTGACCTGATTTTCCTTTAATCTAATTTTGAAATCTGTGTTTAGTTTACAGGTGACTTTCACACTGGAACGTCTATAAGTAAGAGATCTTGTTTCTGGGCTTGTTGTGGGTTCATTGAATGACAGCTCCCATAGTTTTCCTTTTCCTCCTCTCTTTGCTGGGTTTTACAGTGTAGTTCTCTTTACATGGGTGGGCTATAATAACTGGTGGTGATAGATACTAGAACCATCTAGAACCATCAGAAGAGGGGAATGGAAGGAAGCAGTAGGGGCAGCCCCAATCTTACTATTCCAGGTTCCAAACCATACAAGGAAATATGACAGTACAAATGTGTGGGAACAATGCTCAATGTACATTCTGGAGTTGTCACTGGCTCCTAAGCCATCTTTGACTGTGGGTGAAGTTCTGTCTTAAGAGTCTGAAGATGGGTAAAGTTTTGTGTGAAGATGCTGACATGATCACTTATTTTTTTCTTTTATCCAGAGGGATTGGTTCCACCCTCCGAATTTGTATTGAAGTACTGAAGTCTGGCATTCTTTCTTTCAAGGGAAAGGGTGTTTGCAAATGTGTAGTTAACTTGCTGATTATCCTTGATTGCATTTTTGTGTTTAAATGGACTCATTTCCTCTGGGCAGGTTTGGATCAGCACTTTTCAGCTGGATGGAATCTCTGCACTGTGTACATGTACAATTTGTCTTTCCCTTTTCTTTTCTTCGTTTTGTCTGTGTGCGTGCGCATGTCCGTGCATGTGTTTTTCAGTCCTGGATGGAGTTTCTTCAGAGCAGATGGGACATAATTGATTTTTAATAGCTAAATGCAATATGTATGTTTTAATAACAAGGTCTTTTGACAAGGTTCAGACCATTACGTGGCTATTGATTGATACCTGTGTCTGTAGATGTCAAAACCACAGTATAACTCATTCATCCCGTTGCTAAACAAACAACTAAACCAAGTGGAAACCACTTTGTAGCAAATTTGGTAGAGAGGAATAGGGGATGATAGAGTTTCAAAGGGAGGAGAGTGGCAAAGCTCACTGGTGACTATCTGGGGCCTATTGAGTCTAGTAATTGCAATAATGCTTACTCAATCACATCAGTGCATTGCATGCTACTAGAAAATATTCGTTTTCTCTACACACAGTTAATTTTTAGAGACTGAGCTGGGGGAAATACCTTACCTGTAAAGAGCTCCTAAGTACACACCCACATACCCACACACCCACACATACACACCTGTAAAGAGCTCCTAAGTACACACCACACATGAGCACACACATACAAATACACACACAGACACAGATAGCAGTTGCTAAAATATCAAGCAGATCTACATATAAAATTAGATAAATGGACTCAACTATACCTGTCTATTTCCTAAAGATAATGTAGTAAAGCTGGGAAGGTGGGAGGTATTGATTTTTTCATAAATTGCATATGTCATTATGCTGAGAGGCATCAAGGCCTAGTGGATAGAAAGCTGGCATCAGACCCAGGTTCAAGTCTTACTTTGACCTCTACTGGCTATATGACTTCGGGCAAGTCACTTAACTTCTCAGTTCTCTAAGCAACTTTCTGAGAGGAGTTTTTTTTTCTTTTTTTTGCTAGGCAATGGAGTTAAGTGACTTGCCCAGGATCACACAGCTAGTAAGTGTCAAGTGTCTGAGGCCGTATTTGAACTCAGGTCCTCCTGACTCTAGGGCCGGTGCTCTATCCACTGCACATCTGAGAGGAGCTTTTAACTTGGCACCTGTGAACTTTTTTTCCCTTCATATTTTATTCAATTTAATTGGATCAAAAGAGATAATGTGTATGAAGTTCTTAGCATACTACCTAGCACGTAGTAGACACTTAATAAATGCTTGTTCCCTTTTTTCTCTATCTCGGATTCTTTTGTAATCTTACATAATTTATTTTATATATTTAAAAACATTATTCTGAGATGGGGGCCTCAGATTTCAGTAGATTGCCCAAGGTGTCTATGACACAAAAACAGTTAAGAACCCCTTCTCTAAAATTACAAGTTGCAGAGAAGGTGTTTACCTACATTGGTGAAGGGAGTTTCCTCATCTGAGACTTGCCTTTATTATTGAAAAATAGTTGAAATCATGATAAAAAAAATTGAAATCACAAATTCAGTCCTTTTTCTATCCTTACCATGTTCAAATAGGCAAAGCTCTTCCCTAGGTGCTGGTATTAGACACTGGCTACCCCAATCTCCTAGTTCCCTGGAGAGGGGTATCTCCTATTTGCTTTTTCTGGAAGCTATACAGGGCAAGGAAATTCAAGCCATCAGGGAATGAGGTAAACCCCTGCTTCCCACCAAGAAGGCTAAATGGGTGGAGAAAGTTATGAGGCTTTTGGCAACTTCAGATTAATGTGGTTCTTGGCATGCTAGAGGTGTGCTCTGCGGTCCATTAGCTTCTAGTCAGCCTGGCATTGTTATTAGTGTGGTCCATTTGAATATCTTGGGGGGGGTATACCTCCTCACTGCAGTGACCTCCAAAGTGGTTCTATGCTTCAAGAAGATGAATCTACAGGAAGAAAGATCAGAATAAAGATATTACAGATCAAGAAAGGGCCAGTCTTTTTAAAATCTAGTTAAAAATTTTTTTTTGTTAAAAGTCATGATTAGCTGGTTTTTCATTCAGTATTTTATTTTTCCCAATTACATGTAAGAACAATTTTCAACATTTGTTTTTAAAATTGAATTCCAAAATCTCTCCCTCCCTCCTCATTCCCCTCATTGAGAAGACAAGCAAATTGATATAGGTTATACATGTGTAGTCATGCAAAATGTAGATTAGCTCATTTTCTACCAGCTGAGACTAAAAGACTGATACCCTGGGATCCGGGTAACTGTATGGGCAGATCTTTAACTTGAGGATTACTTCCTTAGGTTGGGATGTTGCTCCATATCTGTTCTCACTCCCAGTAGTTCTGAGTATAGACCTGGATAGTTGGAAGCTGTGTGGGGGAAGATCACATGCCTGCCAACTTAATTGCCAGTTCCATAAATCATCACCACACAAGACAGGAGGAGGCAAGACTCTGGAAGCCCACCTTTTGAATTTTTATTGCCATAATGAAATAATTTGCTTTTCAACATTGATTTGACTAGCCTGGATGTAAATTTTGCTAGTCTGATAAAATTCTTGATTTTCCTCAATCATACAGAGAAGAGGAGTAGATGAAAGACAAAATGGTGGATAATCCCCCCAAATCCGTTGGCTTTGTAATGACAGCAGAGCTTTGAACACTGCCAGAGAGACACGTATACTCATTTTGCTTCTCTGCCCAGCTGTGACCTCTTCTTAGTCCTTTCCTTTGATTAGTGGCCATGTTCTTGGATAACTAACTGCCTAGCTTTGGGGAAGGGTTTCCAGGTCATTGAAAATAATTGGCAAAGGAGATGATCATCCACTCATGGATAATTGAGAGTTGGTGTCATTGCCTTGAAATGGGTTTGATATTTATTGGGTCCTGAGCCTCTTTTGTTATCAATGTACATGTATTTGATTTTTCAAACATATGACAGATG